ATACATATACATATATACACATATACATACATATACATATACATATATATACATATATACATATATATACATATATATACACACATATATATACATATATATATATACATATACATATACATACACACATATATATACATATACATACATATATACATATACATACATATACACATATATATATACATATATATATATATACACACATACATACATACATACATACATATACACATATACATACATATACACATATATATACATATATATATACATACATATATATACATATATACATATATATATATACACACATACATACATATATATATATACATACATACATACATACATATATATATATACATATATATATATATATACATACATACATACATACATACATATGCAAAACAGACTTCCAACTCAAATGTCAGAGGTTTTCACCTCCACATGGACACAACTGCAATACACTAAATGAACAACTTTGTATGATGTTCATTTAGGGATCAATCATCGTGTACCTATTATGGACTACCTGCAGTTGACTTTCATTGTGTGTCGGTAAGTGCAATAGTTTGTCGAACATTTAAACATAAAATCCTTTTGGCCTCAACCGTAGAGACTCATTTCACATGCTGCAGTGTCTTAATGATACAGCAGCATGCAGTGACTCTTTGCCAGCTGTGCCTAAATAGTAGTTCCCGTTCAAGAGTGGCCTCCCGTCCTGTATCTGATGCAGCTGCACACAATACGAACTCTGCACGTTCCTGCTGAACCCCGGCGAGCTGCTGTCGTGACGCTCTGCTGCTCGGGGATTAAATGGATGGTGTTGACCGGCACACATAACAAAAAAAAAAATAGCATTTATTTTGTAGTGACATCAAAATCTTAAAATGTATGTAAATGTTTAAATGCTGCTATAAATTACATAATAGTTAAAATTATTTAAAAAACTTTATTTTCTTCTTTTTAACTCAACAGCTGTTTCTCTTGGAAAACCTCCAAGTGATAAACCCAAACCACAAACATGGTACATACATCGAACAGCACACAGCGCCATCTACATCATCATCATCATCATCATCATCATCAAAAAAAAACAACAAACAAAACAAAACAAAAAAAACACGTTTTACAGTGGAACAAAGCTTCGATGAGAAAATGAGGATACTGGTAATGAAGGATATATCACAGGACAGCTCATCTAGCTTGAGATGTCAAAATTAGCAGAGGTACAAAAAAAAGAAACATTTGAAGGAGGAAATGAAAAGATAAGACGAGGGAATATCTTAAATATTAATGTCTGTCCGACAAACAAACACAAAAGTACATCATAAATTCTTCTTCATCTCTGATTTCCAGCTACTCGGTGTCCGTTTTCAACTGGTGCTTCTGGTGACACAAGACTTGAAACTTCTGCTCAGGCTGAGGCGGTATTTCGTACAAATATCCTCAACATGCAAATGGGTTACATTCAATATGGGGGAGTGCCAGAGAAACAATAATAAAATAGAATTATGATAGAGAAAATAAATTCATATATTCTGTATACATTGATCATTTTCTATTTGGCTTGTACATACGCGAGACGCAAAGCGATTCATTCCTGAGGTGCAAGGCTGTTGACACATTTTCTATTCAGCATTGTGTGTGTGTGTGTGTGTGTGTGTGTGTTAGAGGAGGGGGATATAGTCTCAACCTTTTTCCAGTCAACAAATGTATTTGTTATCTTTTATGTGTAGCAAAAAGCGGACACACACTGAAAACTAATCTTGACCAAAAACAAAAGCCAGTCAAAAGAAGGTGACACTACATCCTGGAGTTCTGCATGTGGCCCAGCGGCTGGTGAGTCTTGTGCGTGCAGTCAAAGCCTAAGCGTCTATGGATCTGCTGTATGCCTCGCAACTTTCAGCTGCTGGTGCAGGTCATGAGGTCACACAGAGACTTTTGCGCACGGCGGGTTTTTGCCACAGCGTCCTCACACAGCTACACAAGTGGACGGATAGGCGGAAAAGTCAGTTAAGGGAGCCGAATATTCAGGAATACCTGACCGGACACGTGACACTTCATGCGTCTGGACTTCATCAGGCGAGTTTGTTTCAAGCGCAGAAGCAGCCAACAGAGTGTTAGCCGCACGGGCAGCAGGGGAGATCTTCTTCACACGTGCGTAACACAAATCACGAGAGCAAAACCAAACAGCCGCGTCTACCGGCGTGAACGTGCCGCAGAAACAACAAGAGAACCAATGGTAACGAGGACTGTCAGTAGGATAATGCGAGGTAGCATCGATGAGGGGAACAGAGGGACCTGAGAGGACAAGCAGGCAGCGTTAGGTAAATGCTTAGGTTTGCATTTCTGTGTACAAACAGACGACACGTATAGCCTTGTGAGATCGAGGGAGGCGCCGTGAATGAACACCCCTCCTGTGTTTCAGCTGGTGAACGCATCAGAAGGAATACATCGTACACTTAAGCGCGTGCTGATGTGTGTGCTATAACCTATAGGTTAGTGTATATGGATTCAAAAAACCGACTGCAGAGCAATGACTCCGATTATGTTATTAAGAGCAAAAGCAAAATTCTTTGTGAAAGTTTCTTGTCTTTGTCAAAGGGCAGCGTCGCTATCAAAATACCAATGACCCATTTACAAAGCAGAGAATATGTCGAAATAGAAACATTCAACTGTTAAAATGACTTCATACAGTAGCATATTTTCCTTTGAATCTAATCAAAATCAAGTGGAAATAACCTTTCCTTTTCTTCTTCACAATAATGTAACACTGCAGGTTTTGTTTCATAGCTAGTCTGTTTTACAAACACTTATGGACACAAATAAAAATAGGAGAAGTCACCGACATGCATGCTCTCATGCTGAACAGAAAGAAGAAAAAAAAAAAATCACAACCATTATGAACATTTCACATTATAGCTATCTGAAAAAAAGAAAAAAAGAAAAGAGAAATGAATGGAATTAAACCATGAGAAATGTCAATGCGGATGGGGCAAGTTGGGAAGCAGGGTTTTGTTTGGTGTTGTCACGGGTTAAAAGGTCAAGGGTCAGGACTGTTGGCCGCCCCACTGGCTCTCTACAGGCCGCCGAAGGAGCTCCTCTACGTGCCTCGCCACGTCCATGGTGTCGTCCAGGTCGAAGTCTCCGTCCGCGTCCAACATAGAGTCACTCCTGCCACAGGACAAAGAGTGGAGCCAAACCACACTCAGACAAGCTGGCAGCACATCACCGAAAGAAAAAAAAAAAAAAAAAAAAAAAGACCCAGCAGGAGCAACAAGACACTTTATTCTATACAAAATGCACACGCACACTCAGACAGAGTCATATGTTCAAAGGACTTGTTGACTCACATAGGTGGGAATATGCCGTAGGTGTGAGGGTGACTGACGGGTGCCGGGGAGGCGCCGTGATCCATATAGGTTGGATTCCCACTTGTTGGGTCTGGATTGGCTGTCGTAAACCTGCACACACACACACACACACACACACACACGCACACACGCACGCACACGCAAACACACACAAGATTAAAGCCTGTGAGTCTATGCTCAGCAGTTGCCTAAGCAACTACCCTCAGCGTGCTTTCCAGGCCTCGCTGCATCATTATGGCCGCTCTCTGTAGCGTGGGTGAACCAACCGCGGAGACAGGCAGGGAGCGGGGCTGGCTAACTAACAAGCCTAACTCTAATGATGAGTGGAAGACAAGCTAGCTCAGGAACCCTGGCCATCCTTAATTGGCCTCCTCCAACTGTAACAGCTGACTAATAGCTGATCTGAATTCAGGGTCCAATATTTCGTGATTAACTCTAAATGTTGGCACAGAGGGGGAAAAAAACGGGTGGGTGGACAGCAGGGAAGAAGACAGAGAATAGAAGAACAGGAGGAAAGGCAAACAGAAAGCTGGCTACTTACTCGGGCACCACTTGTTTGATTTGGGGCTTCACGTAGCCGTCCACTGCTTTGGCTTTAAGACAAACAGGGAGGGAGAGAGAGAGAGAGAGAGAGAGAGAGAGAAGTCGTCATGCAGCAATCAATACATCCGTTCACTGCACCGGCTTCGAATGCTGCGGTATTGAATTTTTGAAAGTAACAGCTTTCCTGTGCAAACAGACGGTTGCTTACAGAGGGGTGGGGTGTAATATTTGGAGAAGACCTCATCCTTGGGTCTGTCGGGGTAGAGGAACAGGAGGTGATTGAGATCGCTGATGCGGTCAGCCAGAGAGCGAATGGAGAAGTCTTTGGTTGTGTAGGGCATGAGGTTCCAAACCATCCTCTCACCTGCAAGAAACACAGTGTCAGCAGTAATGGTAACGTAATCAGTCATTCTCCCGGGCATTTTAATTTCAGTAATTTTACAGTGTTGTTTTAATCTAAAATCGACATCGTTGACACGTGACAGAAGCCTTGTATCTGGCTTTAGCGCTGATTAAATCCTCTAGACCTAATATCTAAACATTTTACCAGTACTATCTGTGATGTGACAGTAACAGAGTCATACCTGCTTTGTTAGGATTTTCTGCCACCCAGGCAATTGTAATTCCTCCGATCTCAGAGTCACTAAAGCGCAGAAGGAAAGTACCGTTGGGTTTGGACATCAGCATGTCCTGAGCCTGCTGTTTGTTCACAAAGCCCAGTATGGCTCTGAAAAAACAAGAGCGAGAGATAGAAAAAGAAAGACATTGATATTGTAATGTGCATTCCCCTCCCCACCTCTCTCCTTTATTTCATTCCTAGTTTATGAGGAGAAGCAGGTCCAGCTTTCCATGGAAAATCATGAACGTGAACTATTGCCTGAGTTGTAAAGACTGACAAAATATCCAACCACAAAAGTGAAAGAAAGGGAGGCATAGTGCTTTTATTTTTCATGTTCTGCCACAAGATTGAAACTGACAAAAAAAACAAACTCAATGTGCCTTACCCGTCATTCCAGTGTGGTTTGAGATGCTTTTTTGTGAGCTCCATCACGCCATCAAACCACTGCCAGAATGTAAAGTTCCTCCCTGGCAAGCTTTCCTGTGAGCAAAATGTATTTTGGGGGGGGGGGAACAAAATGATGTTTTAAAAAAGCACACAGGATATATGTTCATCTTTTAAAAGGTTTCCACATTCCCTCATGTCCAGTCATATCCAGTCCATAAATACAGAGAACAACATGTCGTGTTTACGATTTAACAGTGTGCGGCGGGTTTGTGTAGGAAAAGAGAAGAGCTGGGTGAAAGTGTGTGTATGTGTGCAGTGTGTGTATGTGTGCAGTATGTGTATGTGTGCAGCCTATGCACCGGTCTGGAAACTTGATGTTCCTGTAATCTAATGAGACCGATGGTGTGTGGTGAATGCGAGTGCATTTTCTGCCATCGCCAGCTGCATTGAGCCAGAAAATGAGGCCTCCGGCCTTTCGCTGTGTGGACAAACAGGCCCATTAAGAGGAAGACCTGGCCACCAATGAGGCGTCTCTCTCTCTCTCCACTACAGAATAGGGCTGCAGGAGCAGTGCAAATGGAGCATGAGATATTTCTGTGTATGAATAACCAAAAGTAAATGACTCCACGGAGAACAAGCGTGCCGCTAAGATGGCTTAAGGATACTGGCCTGCGGGCATTTAAAAAAAAAAAAATGCAAAGAGGAGAAAACTCTTTCCAAGTATGTTAGAAACCCAAACATTCGATGTGAAACTCCAACTGAAGATAACAGATAATTAGCATGTTGTGACTGCATAGCGCTGACCCTGTTAAACTGTGACCAAGTCATCGTCATGTTGCGGTAGTCGTCGGGGTTGTTGCTGGAGCTGCTGAAGGCCTTTTGAGCCAGGAAGACCAGGTTCTCCTCCGACAGGCCCCGGTTACTCTGCACCTCAGCCTTGTATTTCATGTTGATGGCGTCGCACAGCTGAGGCCAAAGCACCTTATCTGGCACGAGGAAAGGCACCCGTCCCTGTAGAGGCGTGGGGAGACAGCAGAGGATTTACATGAGCCTAACCGACGCGTGTGAGGAGGCAATAGAAATGGTCTGAATTTTGTATTTAGCACCTTTAAATTGTCAAAATTGATTAAACAGAAAAAAATCTAGTAATCGGAGCATTTTTCAAATTACATTTGATACATAAAACTGCTAAGTTTAGGCGTTTTTGAAGGTTTAATCATCTCTAAATATCATTTAGAACGCAGAAAAAAACATTTACTCACCGGCTCTGCAAAAGCGTTGTCCCACAACACGGTTGCTGTGGCGTTATTGTCTTGGCTACCGTGAACTATCACCACGACGGGAAGTGATAACGTCTGTTCGAATGAAAGAGGGGAGGCCATCAGTTTAAGAATGCTGTAACAATAAACATCATCGTCCGTCTATGGTTCTAACGGGACACGAGAGCGTTTCAATCAACATTAAAGTACTGTGAAGAAGACAGATGAGGAATGAGTAGATTGCAGAAGTAACAATGGCGAGTATCTTTGTGCGTCCCAGGCTATTATCGCCTTCCCTCGCACCTTCTCAGTCTGCGCCCCCTTACCTTCACTTGAAAGACAAGCTCGTTGCCTCCAACGCTAAACTGCGACTCGAACAGAATGGTGAACTTTTCTTCTGTGACGGATTCTGCTCCTCGCCTGTCCGACCGCTTGATCCTCTTCAAAGACTACATGGAAGACGACACGTGTAGGAATGAGCAACACTGACAATGCACACATCATATATGCACAGCACACGCACGCATGATTCACTTTGAGTCGGACTACAGGGCCCACGTGTATGCACCGTCTCTGAGGACACATACTACTGTACTCACGGACATTGTCGTCACACACATCTGACTTCAGGGTGAGCCGCACTCTACTTCAGACCCATGTTTACTAAGATATCCAACTCAGTGTAGTTACTTCACTTCAGAATCACTTACCATGTTCCTGAAGTGGGCGCTGAGAGTGCCTGTCGTCTGGTGGTACTCCATCACGCAGTTATTGTTGAGAATCTCTCCGCTGCTATCGCTAAAGGGGAGAGACAATCAAGGGGTTGAGTCAGTTCACCGTAATGTCTGCTGTGACTCGTTGTGCTGAGAATTTTATTCTTCCCAGAACAGATTAAAACTAAATTATGGTCGCTTTGGACGGCGGGAGCTGCGTGAAACACATGCAGGGTGTTGGAATGATGTTCGTGCTCGTATAATTGGATGGTTTAACTACCTCTATATTTTCTACATGAGAAAACACCGAGCAGATGTCTCAGGGCTGCAGATTGGGTGCCATACAAACTGGCTTGGATGAGACACAAGGGGATGATGGCTGAGCTGTTGAATTGCTCGTCCATATAACCACTGGCTGACCTACAGTCTTGGATGGTTTCTGTTTGTCAGGAGGAATGTGGGACGGGCTAAATGTGGATTCTGCGTCCACACCATAGATTCTTCTGTGGCATTGTTCGCGTTCCAGCATGTCTCTGTGGTGAGGTATGGAAACACATGAGGGCCAGAGTTCATCCTGGGATCCAGTAATCCCTGTAGCAAGCTAAAGAATCCTTATCTTAATGGTGCCACGTCCCCACTAGATGAAGCAGGAATACTAAAACGTGTGTGCAAAGAAGAGGGAACAGCAGGATGATGTGTCGTTGCTTCAGCGTGAAAGCACTTGTGTGTGAAAACTCTGATTCAAAGAAGAAGTTATATATTAATTAAAAACAAGCCGTATAGCATAAAGTAGCAGTGTGTAGGATTTAGGCGGATTTCCTAAGAATCAATGTGTTTTCTTTACATTTCTACAGTAGCCCAGAATGGACAAACCAAACACTGCCTCTAGAGAGTCTTTAGCATTTGTTTTTTTTTTATTTCAAGCCCACCGTAGTTCTCCGACATGCTTGTGAGCGGAGGGGTATTCAGTTGAATGCAATCTGCAACCTCACCACTAGATGCTGCTAAATCGTACACACTGCTACTTCAGGTCTGAACCTCCACAAACAACCCCCAGCGTCCTATTTGTAATTGTTTCTGGGGTCTTCTGTTTTTAATCCACAGTGATATGATATCGGGGCACTGGACTTACTTCCTCGTGTTCTCGTTCTTCAGCAGGGCCTTGGCTTGCTGCTCACTAATGATGGTGGCTTTCACCTGCGGAGGGTTCATGTGCACGTTCAATTTCCCACCCACTAGGAGGCGCACTGTCGCGGCAAACTTGGTTTGGGTTTTTAGCACCTGTGGTGGCTGTTTCTCAATGATGAAGGTGCTGTGGAGACAAAGGGGGAGTTAGACTGACTTAATGACAGAACAAAACCCTGTTGGTCAGGTGGCTCAGTGCTTTGCTGAACATCATCTCTTCCCCAATTTTTGTTTTGAAAGCTCTCTTAAAACGTAGCCAAAAATATGACAAAAAGGCTGCAAACCTAACACAGAAAGTAAACATGTTTACAGCATACAAATAACTGTGCAGATGTTATATTAGACTTTAAATATACATGTGATGTATACTTTGAAGATAACCATGGTGCACTAATGGAGGGTATTGAAGGTAATGGAAGTAAGGTGTGATTTTCTGTCGAGCTGTCGTCTGATTTCCCACATTAACACAAACAGGGAGCAAGAAGTGAGACAGCAGCAGACACACAGCCTGATCATTATTCCTGCAGGATCAGTGGCAGCTTGGAAACAAATACATACTGTTGTTATGAGCCTTCAAGCCCACTGTTCTGTAGCTGAACGAAGTAGTGATGTGAAAACAACACTCTCCCATTCTCAGCCTGAAACCTCCAGGGGCTTCAGGGGAATATAGAGAGGATGTTGTTGAGGAAACATAACCTGTGTTTGTACTGTGTGTGATAGTGGTACTGTATTTTGTGGGCCAATCAGAAATCGCTGTGACACGGACACAGCCTCTCAGTATGCTAAGGGTCCCTGCAGGGAAAATCTACAAGAAAAGTAGGAGAGGAACCTTCAGATGACTTCCTGTTCAGAGATGCTGGAGGGCTAAAAGACCCTGGCAGATGTGCCTTTGGGTCCAAAAAGTATGAACTGCAACAGCTTGCAAGTGCCTCCGCTGTCCTTCAATCTCTTGCAAACTGCATTTTCTTTGTCTCTGCAGATCTTTTTACATTACATTACATTACATTACAGTCATTTAGCAGACGCTTTTGTCCAAAGCGACTTACAATTCAGAGTCTATCACATTTCTACACCGTAGGCACAACTACGGGAGCAATTTTGGGGTCAAGGACACATCTTTTTAGAAGCCTTTGACTTCCATCCTTTGCCTCTGGGCACATTTGCATCCTCGCAGTTGAAATTATCACTGACCGACTTCTTTTTCAACAAAACATGAGTTTGTTTGGCTGCACTGAAAACAGTTTCAAGACCAAAATGACCGATTAGTTGACTAATCGACTGAGATTTCTTCAGTCGATTAGTCGTTCTTCATGCTTTTTCAGGCAGAATACCTTATTTCCAAGAAATTAATGTCTCTGTTGATTAAATCAACTAATCAATTTGTCGACATAATCGCATGAGCGTCAGTCGACTAAGGCTTGCTGTTACTTATCCATATCCAGTGTACAGTAAATCCTAAAGTGGATAAACCCAACACCAGATTAATTTAATCTTAGGAAAAGATAATATCTCTCACTCTGTCGACCAAAGCAACTAAGGCTGTGCAAGTAGGACTTGCTTGCATAAAGGCCCCCACTGAGTGCAGGAAACGGCGATGCCTCGATGTAAACACACACCCAGCTACACACACGCCGGGGCTGATATACTTGTTTTGACTCTATGCTGACTGACATTCATGTCATGGAATCAGCGTTTTCAGTCAAGATGAGTTGAGATAAGTTTAGAGAAGCCTAAACAACAACACACACCTGGTGACCAATGCTGAGATGATGTCTGTGATGGTACTGCTGAGTTCGTTGAGGAGCTCTTCAATGGGGCCGGGGATGGGCAGCTGTTGTCTGAGGTGCTCTGCCCTCCGAATCTGCTGCCTGTTTTGCCAGATAGTTTCTGCTAGCTTCTCACACCTGACACACACACACACACACACACACACACACACACGAAAACACACACAGGTAAGAAGTTATGCCTGCACTGCAGGAGATTTCACTCCAGCAGAAGATTAGCAATTAAAACTGAAACGGGATAGTTTACAGCAACTATGAAACCCTTGACAGGACTCTCCAAAAAAAAGCAAAGAAAACAAAATGAGGGATTAACAGCCTAAAAAAGAGACATGTCAGATGAGCCTGCCTAATGTCTCTGTTATTAGGAGCCAATAAACTTTGGAAATGAACCCAGCAGTAGTCAATTGAAAGCTTGTAAACCTGTGACCCTTTGCTTTGAGAGGAAGCCTAGCGGCCGTGATCTTGGTGGGAGGTGGAGGAGGGCTCACCAGGACTGCAGGATGTCCAGGCCTCCCTCCGGCGGGCCCCCGTTGCCTGCCAGCTGCTGCCGTCTCTTCCACTGGATCAGCTCGTCATCCAGAATGATGGTCTGCTGCTTTCTCAACAGCTGCAGTGTTTTCTGGTGCTTCTCTGCCAAGTCCTGCGCATGAACAGAAAACGAGGAGGTTTGACTTGGGATAACACACGAGCACTCTTGCACACACACATTGGGTGTATTTTCTTTGAGCGTGCATGTTCCTGTCTTACCAGTCTGTATTTCTGTAGTGTGTTGGCCTCTCTGGTCAGCCATGTCTCCACAGTGGCTCTCTTATTGAGAAGGGCGGGCTCCCGTAGCTGCCGGTCAGCAGGGGGCAGCGTGGACAGGCTGGTCAGCTGAGCTGAGGAGGAGTGGGGTTGTTGCCATCCAGAGGGGGGGGGGAAGAGAGGGGAGGTGAAAATCTTTAACCTGCACATATATACAGTGAACATACATCTACGCCCGAGGGTGATAATGATTTACTCAGGAGAACCTCCTCTAGCATAACACATTGAATTAGTGAATTATGCAACATGAATGCAAAGGTTGCTGCTTATGGAAGCTCCAGGTGTTTGTTTTCCATCGCTAATCTACAGTGTCCTGCATATTTCAGACAGCTGTGAAATGAACGTGTGGAATGATCTTCACTATACAATTTCACACCTGTGGCATATATAAAAGTGAAATGTAGTGGACTAGTAAATAGGTTTTGTCCAACATACAGTCCAACATTTCCAATGTATTATATTTAGAATGAAAGAAGAACCGGCACATTTGAAAAGCTTGAACCAGCGCTGTTGAATAACTGATTATGAAAACTGATAATTCTCTGTCTCCTCACAGTCTGGTCAGTCAGGACTTTTGCATTACTCTAGAGCAGCAATAACGAGATGCAGGTCCTCTGGTCTCACCCTGGATGCGGAGGCTCTCCTGGTACTGGATGATGAAGTACTCCTGGTTGTGCTGGAGCTTGCGCAGATCATTCTCCGTGTCCTGGGTCAGCAGGCGGAGCTCCTCAAAAGCTTGGTTGATCTGTTGGTATTTCTGAGACATGCTGTCCATCATCCCCCCCACCGGAGAGCTCGACTGTCGATTACAAAGTGTGATTGAGAGACAGGCACAGAGAGAGACGTAGGGTTGGGAAACGGTAATTGGTAAGGTGTCATGGCCTGTGTATTGTCTGTCATTGGGTTGTTTATGATAGCTGTTAGGGGAGATAGCAGGCTACTGGTGAGATGAGAGACGTGTGATATTTGTGGGGGATGGAGCAGGAATATGAAACCAAGCTGGACTCGATGCATTGATGCCCGCGTGTGGCAGTTGGGCTATTTGACCGTAAAATCCTCAGTGACCACAAGCCTGACGGGATAACTGCAAACAGAGAGGGAAGAAGTGCTCATCGCACTCGGGCAGACTGCGTGAGCACTGTGTTACCTAAAGGTTCAGACTAAAGACGGTAAAATTCGATCAGTCCAAATATGCATTCCACGAATAGAAAAGGCATGTTGTGACTGGAAATCAATTCGCCGCAGGAGTCGCTGAGAGTCACATGTTTTTATGCACTGCTGGCTTTTATGGTTTTATAACTCAGGGCTTTTTATAAACCGTGAAATATTTGATTTTCATTTTTGATTTGCAGTGGAGGAGCAACAAAAAGTTGACTTTTACGAGTCCACTTTACAGCATGATTGAGAAGGTATTGTTTTAATAACGCAAAAGGAACCTGCAGACCTTTGGGGGGGTGAATGGAGGAAACGGAGAGTAGTTACGCAATTACCCAGCCGGCTGAATCAGTCACCATTAAGTAGTTGCGCTTCTGTTTGTGTTTGCAGGCTTTGTACGGGCTATGTACTGAATAATGCATGAACAAGCCACAGGTGTTTGTCGAAGCAAGTTTACATTACAGTGGGGATTGTCTGCAGTGTGCATGTGTCAGCTTGCAAATATATATTTCACAGCACACGCGTGCATCCTACTCACATTGGTGGCCTCTCTGACGAGCCTCTGCTCCGTGTAGAGGATGTGTTTGATGCATCGGACCAGCTCCAGCGGACAGCGGTCATACGTGCTCTGAAAGACAAGGAGCACATGAGCCGTGTTAAGGCCTATTAGCCCCTGACGAGTGGAGCGTCCGCCTCACACAGGACTCACCAATTTAGAAGCTCGCTAAGTTCTGGAGCACTAAAAAAACCCCATTAGGCGAGCCTAATGAGACCCATCTCTGAAGCACGGAGCACTTCATATATCATTCATTAGCAGTCACGCACATTGTCACGCACACACACTGCTGGTACATGTGTTACAATCATTTTTTTTTGTGTAAACAAATTGTGGTTTCACTTTCTGTCTGAAAGACACTGTCGTGAGTCTAGTAGTTTCCTGCTTCAAGTCGGGGAGTGACATTGCATTAAAAGTTTGGAATTGTAAAATCAAGCTACGTTTACGAGGAAACACACCACACTAAGAGGAAAAAAAAAACTAATAGCACAGGGCATCAGCAGGGTTGGACACATTTCATATATTACACATCGGTACATGTACGCTCATGATCACCCAGGGGAAAACAGAGAAGTAGGAATTTGGGTATTGCAGTTTGATGTTGCACAGCCAGCTCCCCTTTAGCCTGTTTCTCTGCCTGGTTTCAGGGAGGGGAGAAGACAAACAGACAGCTCTGTGAGCATAAATAGCAGCGCTGGTTGGCTACCAAGGCCCTCACGCATGGTAGATATAACCTGTTCCTAAAACATATCGTCCACTGTGTGCAAGGACAAAAAGCAAACAGTTACATCTTCCAACCACTTCATCTCTTCTCACGTTGTTGAAAGGTGAGAGTCTTGATGGAAACATAATTTCATTTCAATATTCCTCCGGAGTTGTTTTGGGCTTTTTCTGATTGTGTGAACAGTAGGCCCTTCATGCTCCAGTGTGTTTTGTTCTCCAGGCTTTTTAGCTATAGATAAAGTACCAAAGTCAATTTTTTAATTTTTAAAATCAAGGTCTCTTTTATTGATAAATCTGGGAAATAACTGAAAGCCGCAGTTTATACTTTATATACATGCTTGTTTTTGTATTTGTGTGTTCTCAAACTTTGGCTCTACTTAGCACCCTGACCCTCAAGTCTCTCAATCAGACAGGAAAGTGACCCGGTAAGGCACTGTGTGTTCCTGGGCACGCAGTGCTGTTCTTGTGATTGGTGAGGCACATTTCCAAAAGACTTACCTTGAGCTGGCTGGCGTAGTGTCCCAGTTTGATTTTCAGTAGAAAGCCGTCCTCTCCCACCTGGTGCTCGGCCTTGTTCTGCAGCTCCTGGATCAGACTTTCCAGTAGCCGTTTGGCCTTGAACTCCTCCGCCGGGTTCTCTAGGTCTATGGCATCCCTAACAACACACACATACACACACACACATAAAACACACATGCATGCACGCAAGACACATACAAGACAAGTGGACATGTGCATAAACAAACGCACATGGAAAGAGCAACTCTCCTTATGGGCTTTCATTGACAAGTATACATGCTATACACACGTATTATGTTTGTGCTGCAGGGTAACTCACCAGAGCTGGCCCTCTATCCACTGGGACAGATAATGTCGCACCTCAATGGGGAAATGCTGACCGTAGAGAGACTGCATCTGGTGCAGAGCATCTCCCTGGAGCTGCTGGGCCTGGATCCACACTGCCATCTTCAACGCCCTGACGTTGAAAAAAGGGGGTTTTCATTAATGAGAGAGCAGGGAACACATGTTTAAAGAAAAGGCACATTATGATGTGCATGGGGACGTAGTAACCGTGATACTTGGTATCGAAAGGGTTAAGAGGGGGATATCTATTTCATCCTCTTCAAAAGAAAAGCATAATTTAATTAACTAACCACATTAGTTTGTGGGATATTAGGGTCCGTAAACCGTGAGGCCAGACTTGGCTGTAATCCCAGTTTAGAGTAATGTTTGCTGTCCTGGTTTTTATTAGAGCGGGGTAGGTTTAGACTTCACCCAGCCAATGTTATAGCCGAGCGTTTGCTACCTTACGAACACCTTACAAACATGGGGACTGCCCATTCGTCCGACAGCCCGTTATCCCGAAAACAAACAGCACACTGTCCTGGAGGCCCATTGCTCCCAAAAACAAAATCACACTCTCCATGCAAGACACAGAAGCACATGGCTAATTATTATGCAAAATGGCATCATCGGACCTTCCATCGGATCATTCTGCACAAGAATTACAGATGTGCATCTGTTCAGTTTAGCTCATTAGGATCCCCATTAGCTGACGCCATGAAGTCAGCTTGTCTTCCTGGGGTACGTTTGTTTTACAGGAAGCATATGTTTTTGACAATGGACGTTTGTTTTCGGAGAACGGACAACTGGGCTTTCCAGTCCAATGGGCCATTTTTCAGGCTATTAGAGTTTCAGAATAAAGGGCCGTCGGAACCATGGCATGGCACCACAAACAAACGGGTTACTCCACACCCCACCCCAGAGAAGGGGACCCCAGCAACGTTTTGTTTACCTCTGTGTGAAATCACGGACCCGTTGTCTGAAAAAATACTAATTACAAGTGGTTTGCCATGTTTATCATTATGAATCTGATACAGAGCAATAACAGAAAGCTTGACAATGAAGCGGCAATTAGCAAATATAGTCGATTGTCTTTCGCTTGTAGAAATGTTGTACGAAAAATGTAATCTTTAAGGAAATTGACTAACTCCACGATGAATTAAACCAAACTCCCCGAGATCACAGAGTACAGATCTGGTGAAAAAAACAACACCTACAGGATACAGATGTATCTGGTTTCCCTCTAAGGCTCCGAGCCTTAGTGGTTGAGCCGGTCGTGTGTCTTTTCTGTGTTTGGGGCTTAAAACAGTCTCCTCAGTGGAGCCGACAGCTCCACTGCCACTGTGTCTTGGTTTAGAGGACTCTGAGCTGGGTCACTGCTACGTGTTTCCAGTCAACACACCCACTCACCCTTCTCAAAAGCGGCACAGTCACTGTCAGTAAAAGACTGAGCGATATGAGTACGCGGGAAGTTTGTGGTGCACGTATGTGCGCATGTGTATTTGTAAGGGCTTGTGGTGTCAGTGGTTCTGCTTGACAGCGCGTGCATCTTTAGTGTATCAATGTATATTGGATTGAGACAAACAGACCTCCACATATCATATTCACATAATATTTCCTTCATCATACCTTTAGTTTCCAACATCCACAATGCATTCTCCGTGCTGTTGCTACCAAACTCAGAGAAAGGTTCCACTGTTCACCCTCGTTGAAGAACTGAAAACTAGTCAGTAATTGAAGTTCACAGTAATTTTGCACATTGCAGTAAAAAAAAAAGAAGAGAGAGACTGCTTAAAAATGTGAGAGGATCTCATGACATGCACAAATGACCTTCAGTCATTCATCTAATGAGGCCGTGACTGGATGATGAATCGATTTTAATATAAAAAACTCCAAAACCTCGTCACACTCATCTCATCTGATCACCGGGCAAATTGTGCGCATGTGTGTGTGCGTGTCGCGGCTGAGATCAGCACCTCATACCTATGCTCAGGTGAGCGCATGTTCACTCTCTGTGTGTGTGTGTCGAGGTGAGCTGAGCTCAGGAAGATAATTCCTCTCCTTGTGGTATTTGCACCTGTAGACACTAAACCTGTAAGCCTATGATAATGCTCCTGCTCTCATATCGCACTGAATGGGTCCTGACCTTTAACCTTTCCTTATCCCACTGGAGACCTCAGACTACGGGGCACAGACTGCAGGGAGAAGGCACGTTCATGCGGCTACTGAAGAATAGTGTTAGTGGCTCTGTGAGCGGCTCACCTCTCTGCAGAGCCAAAGCTTCAGCTTCAGTAAACTGTGAGCTGCTGTGATGGCAACAGCCACACTTGGCTTAATTTGTAAGGGACAGGTGGTTAGATGCTCTGTATTCTCTTATTAAATGTTGATTAGGTGCATTGTGTTATTGCACCTCACCGGATTGATGAGGAAATATGTTGCATAGCTGGTTGATGACACTTTTTCTACGCGAAACGATGAGGTGAAAGTTCACAAACGCAACACTAAATGCTGCATTATCTTTGCTGAAGTTTAAACGTGCGTATTGTTTTCAGATGTGTGTATATTCACATGTAATAGAAAAAAAAGTAAAAGGCAATAAAAGGCTTTTCAAATGAGCAACATGCACATGTTTTATCTGCCGGGGCATCAGCAGCGAGCATCAGCATTCGTACTATCAGCTGATTGGAGGAGGAACCGAACAGGAAGAGCGTGAAACCTTTTCTACCACCTCTTTTCTGTGACACCCGGGACCTTCTGTGCCACCCTGTATCACACAAACAGCATGGCATGCTGGGAGCCAAAGCTTTAAACCATGTTCGCCGTGCTGCAAAAAGACAGTGAGACAAACTGCTGTGTTTACCAAGTCTGTCTTGTCCCTTTAACAGCTCTTTAAAGCGGAGGCTCCGGGCGCTGTTTGCCCACCATTAGTGCCTACATTCTCACCTCCAACAGGGGAAAGAGATGCTTCCCAACAGCTGTTTCAATCTGACTACATCCAAATGCCCTGGCATGAACCCGAGATACACTGCGAGAACTGAAACGTCTCTTCCTCTGTCGCTGTCCTCTCTTTACAAGAAACTCACAATGGTGTCACGTTACACATTTTACCACTAACTTCATGGCAGACTTTACAAAAAAAGAAAAAGGAAATCCACCTTACCTCTTGCCTTCAGCTCCGTGTTACCATGTAACAGCAGGAAATTCAAACGAGGAGCACCACAAACCTTAAACAGACAGACAGAGAGAGGGAGAGACACAGAGAGTAAGAGAGAGAGAGAGAGAAAGCAAAAGGAGGAAGTGAGTCAACCTTGGGTGCTTCTGAGGAAGCTATTTTTTTTCACAAGGACCGGAGCATTAACAAAAAGCATGCGGGGTTGAGAGAGAGAGAGCTGAGAGAATGAAAGGGAAAGTCCGCAGATTTCTCATTATTCCGGTTGTCCTTGGACACCTCGACATAACGATAATGTCATTTATGAAACTGCTCTTAGTGATGCTATGTGGGGATCTCAGAGGTGCTCCAATTCAAACTCAGACGGCAAGAAAGCATTTTAAAATGGGATATTCTCCAAACCTTATCTAATTACTGTTATTTAAAAAAAAATACTATTGTTTATTGCAAGTTTATTGTCAAGTATTGTCTTGACTCTGCCGGTTATATTACCATAGTTCTCACCAAAGAATTTGCTACGCTCATGAACAAAAAGATGACCTCAGCAAATAAAAGCGGAGACAGGTTGACTATCACACAGCCAACAGTAAGGCCGGAGTAGCTTCTTCTTTCTTTGGAAATAGATAGCCAAGTGTCTCTAATAACCCCTCACAGTACAGAAAAAAGAAAAACGTGAGTGTGCACAACTACGGCAAGTACAGTAGGTCAAAGAGTTTGTCCACATTAGGCTGGTTACATTTTAAAACACATCATTTTCTCTCAGCCCTCCGTCATTGCTGAACCTGTGTTTTTCTCACCAGGAAATATCACCAGTGAGCTCGGTGATTAGTGTTGTCACAATCGAGAGGACTAACGGCCAGATAGACAAAATAATAAACGTTTTCCTTTCAGTCTTGTCAGATGAAGACAAGTTAAAGTGTCACTTTTGTCTCATGAAGTCATCTTAGATAGAACTAGTGTGCTTGGTACCGATTAGGAGGCTACAAAGTCTCATGGCAGCAACACTAAGCCTTGAACTACAGCCATGGCCCTGTCACCATGTGGCACACAGAGCCAGAGCATCTGAAGTCAGGCTTATCGTGATCCAGACAGCTCTCATTCCTGGCTGGAGCCTGAAGACGGAGACCAGCAGGAGCCCATATGCTGGCTCGTGTCTCCAGACAAATATGTGAGTATCTGTATTTTTTCCATCTACCTTGGCTCGATCCTTCTTTGCTTCTCCACCACCATCCAGCTTGTTTATTGGATCCAACCCCGTTATTACCTAATAAATTCTCTTCCAGTTGAGAATGATGGGTAATGTAATGGCCTGACCTATGACCTCTTCATCAAGGTCAGCATGCTCTGCTCACACTGAGCCTCCCCGTTTTGACATCGATAAGTCACGTGTGTTGATGCCAGCAAGTGACAGCAAACATCTAAAACATCTGGTACACACACACACACACACACACACACTCGAATGCCACTGAACATTCAAAAGTGCAGAATCATACTCACTGGAGAGGATTACTGAAGCAATCATCACAGATGTTTACCGTAGGGCCTCGTCTTAATGCTCCTCCCATAACAGAAACCATGAAGCAGTGCTGGCTCCGTCTTCTGGAAACAGAGCGATGCAACTCGAGAGGCTTCTGACTGTTATTATGTCTGCTAGTCAACTCACACACCTTCACTTTGTCTCAAGTAAACAGGACAACACAGCGCAGACGCATACAGTAGCCCTGCAATAAAAGATGTATATATAGAGAGCTTTTAATTCACCCTGTAGTCATTTCTCACACCTTAGTTTGTGGTGTTATATTTAGATTACAACACATCGTAAGGTTCCACTCACTGTATATGTATATGAGCACACACACACACACACACTTGACTTTTACGTTGGCTCGTCCTTCAAAGATCCTCGGTTGTTGCTCTCTTTTATCTTTATTGCCATTCTTTTCCAGCAGAGGGAGAAAGGCCATGGCTCCATCTCCAAAGCCCTTTCTACAGCTCGCGCTAGCTTTTTGTTGTCCATTTTGAATTTACTGTCAACAGATTTTCCTCTCCTCATCCCTCCGTCAGTTCGTGCTCTATTGGCACGAAGGTTTCAGGAACAATGTTTCTAAAGCTTCTAAATACAAAAGTACACAATAACAGTAATATGAACATCAACACACTCCACTAGGAGTCTTTTTTTAATTGTGAGAGGTCTTTAAGATCTTTGAAATAACAGAGTTTAACTTGCCAAAGTTCATGTTTCATATTTCACTGAATGATTTACACTGTGGGAGGATGTGTCTCTCAGCCTCTCACCTGTCGAACAGCGTAAACAAATGTTCTGTTTTCTGTTGGTTGCCATGATTTTGTTGTTGGTTGCCAGTTTGTGGTCACTGAGCCTGTACTTGTTTCTATCTCTGATGTTAGACAGATGTTCATTGGACTTGATGATTTTAGAGCTTTATAGGTATAACTCAATGATATTATGATTCATATCTCTCTCTCTCTCTCCCTTCTAATCAACTGCCAGCTACATGAATGAATCCATGCACAGTTCAACATCAAGTTACAGGAAAATCTGTCTTCCCCCTCGGTCCCTTCACACAACATTGGCAAGGAGGCAATGAACGACTGCAGCGATTTTCTTTTTCACCCACTGTGCAGAAATCGTGGCATATTTATGAGTGGAGAATGGCTGGATGAGAAATCAGGAGAACGGGTTCCAGCAAAAACAAAACCAATGAAAACCTTTTCCCACCCCGGCTGTATACAGGGCTCTCCATAAAGACAGAGAGGACGGCTTCATTTCCACTCTTTCAGATTATTTATCGACTGAGCAAAACTATGATAAAAGATGCTGAAATGAAGGTTAATGCTGTTTCATTCTGCTAATAAAGTTCACATCAACCTATAAGCTCAATGTTTTATAATAATAATAATAATAATTCAGGACTTGTGTTGTCAATCAACAAAACCAATTTACAGAATCAACAATTGCAGCATATGTAGGGCTGGGCAATAATTAAATATGACATTTTATTGTCCTTTAATGGAACAGAAGTGTGATGAACTCATATATCGAGATACACAATTACATCGCCTGAATTGATAATAAGCAAGCACATAGTAACTCAAATGAGCTCTAGCGCTACATCGTGAGTAATCCTGCACAGAGAGAGATTCTACCCCGGGCTGGTTTTTGCAGGCTGAGACACAGACTTTCAGTATCTGTTCATATGTCATCAGCGCCTGCGGCGAATGGAATAGAAAAACAAAAAAAAACAACAATCCTCAAGCCTTTCCACGAGTCAATCAACGGAAAATAAAGAAAAGTCCCCCTCGTAAGGAGAAGTCAACAAAAAGAAATTTGCTTTTTTCTAGCCAAGCCCTCACCGGTTTGTTCTGCCAAAGAGTATTTGGGACATCATGAGCTCCAAAACAGGGAGAGGTTCTGGGTGAGTGTGCTTGTGTGAGGAGAGACCAAACAATCTAAGCAGCAGACATCCTCCTCCTCCTCCTCCTCCTGATATGTCCCTCATCTTCACTTGTGTGCATTACATTACAACTTTGGCCATCCCGGCAGCAGCAACAACACTACTATCTCTCTCATACTGGCCATGCATCTCCATCACCATCTTTGTTGTATTCAATTAGATGCAACAATCACAGCGCAGTATTGGCAGCGTGTGGCGAGATGTTGTTGTAGTTTTTCTTAGTTCCCCCGGGGTCTCAGAGCACGTCTGCGCGTTCGTTTAGCTGGCTCCGACGTGAACAAAGCGAAATTAAACACAAAGTCGTGTCACCCACTCTTTCCTCTGAGGAAAAACTGCCATTCATCAACGTAAGCGCTTCCTGTTAGGAAACTGAAGTGCCACCCACCATTCAAAGCAACCTCACCGCTCTCCTTTACGCCAGAGCCCTGTGAGCGCAGGAACAGAAAGAGCACACACACACACACACACACACACACACACACAGGGCCATACGACGCTGCAGCGAGTCCCATGGAACTTTAAAGGACCACTCTGGTGTTTTTGGATGTTTTTTTTAACCCTACATACTTCACTGACTATTTGCCATAAAGCCATTTTGGGCTGATGGATGCATTTTTTATATTTATTTACATTGAAGACTATGAAATACAGATAAAAAAGCACTATCAAACTAAAACATAAGCTTGTTTTATGCCTATATTTCTTATACAAACATACATTAAAAAGTGTACTAAGAATGAGTCTTTTGCTGCATGTGTCTCTCTCTCTCTCTCTCTCTCTCTCTCTCTCTCTCAAAAAATCATTTGCAAGGCTTTAATCCTGTGTTTTAAATCCTATTCATGAAGGGATCCTTTAGTTTCTTTAAAACCTACTTGAAATAGACCATCCATCGCAGTATTTTGCTGTGTCATTATCAAAGTAATACCGTGCTGCATTTTGAAAGTACCAACGGTCATCTTGATGGATGCTTTTACGGTCTCGTGGGGAAACCCTTCCAGATTCACATGATCCGTTACACAGCATCCATGTTTACTTATTGTGTCTGGGTTTGATTTCACACGAACATATTTACACATGACAGCAGTTTGTGATCGTTCGTGAGGCTGATCAGCATATGGTGGGAAACCATCTGGAAGCATCAGGGCTTTCAACAAACATGGATCTAAAGTGGGTACTTGGAAGACATTTCATTACCTAAAGGGTAAACACTGGGATTTTTTGGCATAGCGTCTATTATTTTGTAGTTAAATAAGTTATTATTAGTTTTTATTAGGGACACTATAACTTATTGGACCTAGTTGGAGTCTATTCTAGTCTGAGCCAGTTGCTGTTGACAGTTTAGAGATGCATTTATACAGTGTGTGATGTTTCACAATCTCTCTACCTCCTGACGTTCACCCTAAAATGGCACGACTGGAAATACCAACATCAAATATCAAGAAGACGTCAATTAGAGGGGAAAACATAGTCCAGTGTGGACTGATTACCTCATAGTCCAGTTTACTCAGGTTGCATCAGCAAAAGTTCACTGACCTCCAGAGTTTACTGTCCTTGTCCACATCGCTCCATTCACCATTTC